AAGGAATGTTTTCTTTAGAATGGTAGAGTCTTCCTAGTGATCTTTAATATTTTCCTAGCTATTTCAGTTGAGCTAATCAACAAAAAAGCAATGCACATTATAAATTATCTACCTTTCTGTGCTGATCTCACCACTCTAAGCTTACCCAACTCCCAATTAAATCTGTTGTCCTGGAAATATAGTCTAGTTCTAAGAAAATTCATTCGTCAGTTACAAAATGCTTGTTGCTAACAAATTGATTTTTTCAGATTTAAATAGGGGTTTTTGCACATTAAATTGATCATAATTAGTAAAGAATAGCACTGTGCTCATGATCCAACTTTCATTACATGCATTTTCTGATAATTCTTGGATGGAAGACAAAAAGATTTAAACTTTAAAGAGACAAAATTTGCATTTATTTCAGTTCTCAGTAGAAGAAATCCATCAGAATTAAGCACTTAAAATATTTCTGTGGAGAGTCAAATACATGCTTAAACACCACCATATGTAATACTGGCAAAGTAATTACCTAAACAAACTAAAGATAAGATGACTATTCATTGACATTAGACTCAGCTAAGCATTCATATGAATGGAAGTGGCTTGCAACTGCTATCTTCTGGGATATTTGACTTCTGAATCTACCCTGTAATCCTGAGCTTTCTGGATAGTCTCTCATCCAGATTCTAACAATGTTTGACCCTGCTTAGCTATTTTTGAAATCAGCCAAGGCAAGCTAGATGCTGCCACCTGCTGTGACTAATGATGTAAATAAAATTATGCAGGAAGAAACAAGAACTTTCTGCAGTGCTCCAATTTAATACCATTTACTACATCTTTCATTTGAACTGATTAAACACAATAATTACTGCAGCAGGAGTATATATGTTTAAGACATCTTCAGAAAGATAATTATGTGATCATGAAAAAGACAATACTTTGAGCCGAGCTGGTGCAGCAGTTAGAGTGCAGTACTGCAGGCCACTTTAGCTGACTGTGTTCAGCAGGTCAGTGGTTCAAATCTCACCGGCTCAAGGTTGACTCAGCCTTCCATCCTTCCGGGGTAGGTAAAATGAGGACCCAGATTGTTGGGGGCAATGTAAATATTTGTTTTCTGAGGTTTATATATACATTGCTTACTGGTGTACACCGCTTAGAGAGTGCTCGTACTTAAAGCGGTATATAAGTCTCATAAATAAATAAATAATACTTCCTAGCCATATTTAAAATGGACAGCCATATGCATTTTCTAAATAAACTAAAAGTGAGCATTGTCCTTCATATTAGTACATGAAATAAAATAAAGTTTGGGTTATATAGTTTTATTAAAATATTTTTAAAACAAAAATTAAGAATAAACTTTTAATATAGAGGTAGTAGAATACCTTTCTTCAAGCATTACCTTTAATCTATCTCAAAGTGAGATTCACTAAATGAAATGTGGCTTACTTTTCAGTAAGCACCTATAGAATTGTACTGCAAATCTGGTAGTTATGCTTGCAATTAGTATATGTGGGCGTTGCTTGCAATTACTACATGTGGGAGGCTGGCATCAGAGACTTCTGTCTTCAAACAAACTAATTGATATTGGTACTTTTTATGCACTTAAATCATGCAGCCTTTTAAAAATATTTTCACAGCACCAAGTAACAGGTAAGGATATGTTACCAAAAATACTGCTAAAATCCAATAAAGAAAAGTTGGTTGGTCAAAAAACTTAGTTACAACATTGTACCTAGAATTTAAATAATTATAAAGATGAAAAATAAAAGGCATTCCAAGTTGTTCTCATTCAGTAGTTAACCTGGGCTGCTACAACACTGTTTGACTAACCTAAATTTTCCTTTATCCAGTATCAGCTCATGAGTTTGTCTTGTCAAGGAAGTCTGTACCTTGAGACTGTGCTTCTAAAGAAATTGAACATAGTGTTGATTACATTTTGTTCTGCACATTCAACACCTCACAGTACTTGATTTTTGTCAATAAAATGTCCTAATTCTCTGACTTGGTCAACTGTGGCATCTTCCTCTATCTTCTCATTTAATAATGCAATTCCCTGTAAGACAAACAAGATGCAGAAACTGTTCTAAGGAAAGATCCTACCACATTCTCTTTTTTCCCATTATTCAACAGCAGAATCCTGTCTTTATTTTCTCTACTTCAATTTCTGTATTAAATTCTCATTCACTCTTAATTCTTCTAAGAAACTCCAATGTCTGCAGACAATTCCCAAAAAGTTCAGAAGATATCCTAGTTTTATACTACCCAGTTTCTTACATACTTATTTGTATTTATATTTAATAAAACAAGGGAAGTATAGTTGTAATACCTTAAAATACTCAGGTTTTTTACCATTACTGATAGGCATTAAACAAAACACAAGTTCTATAAATACGTCTCTTACACACAAATTCCAAACATGTCTAAAACAAAGCATATCATATATTTTGCTGAAATTTAATCTTTTTTGCTCTTTGAAATCATTTGTTTTCAATGCTGTCCATGGCTATCAATCCAGCTTTGGGTTCATGCATTGCCTTTTAATGTTCTGATTTAGCTCACACTGCAATATAGAAGTAACACTTCGGAAGAGATAAAGATTAACTTTGGATCAAGTAACTGCTACCCTTTTTGGCTCTATTTAAAATTTAGGTTCTCTCACAATCTTCTCTATTATAATTAGTTTCACTATGATTTTTTTATTAGAAAATCAGTGAGGTTACTTATCACACATATATTTTTAAAAATCTGATAAACAGATTTTTTCTACCATTTTCTATATAATGTACATTTTTAAATAATAGAACTATCATTTCTATTTTGATTTGATAAAGCAATAATCATATATCAGTCACCAATACAAACACAAACCAGATGCAATTTGGATTTCAATCTTCTCCACAGTAAACTTTGGTTACTCTGCAAAGTTTTAAATGGGGAAACTCCTAAAATAACATGAGATTTTTTCTTGCCCATTGCCTTGGAATTATTTTCCACATGTAATACACATATATAAAGTGTGTGGGAGTCAGGCAGTATAAAAATTTAACGAATAAATAAAAATAATTTTAACTATGTAAAGCCTAGCATTTTGAAGTCCTTAGTTCCATATCAATCAAAATGCTAAGAAATGCTATACTTTTTTTAAAAAAAGAGCTGCCAGTTATTTATAAATTTCTATTCTATATCACTTCATTCTAATTTAAATAATGTTGGAAACAAACTTCAAGTCAAGTTTGACCTAAGTTGAAATTATATGAAGAAAGAATAATTATAAATAACTAGAGCAAACACGGCTAGTAAACTGAAGACAAGCAACAGCACAGACAACAGCCGAGTAGAGATGCTTCTGCCAAATTGTTATTCCTAGTGTTTGCTTTACTGAATTGCAGACTTGAAGTCACCCAGCTGGCTTCCATTCCTAAAAGAAGACTAGAACCTGGGTTATCCTTCTCCTAGTCCACCACTGGATCACCTACACCTTAACCATTGGATCTCTCTGCTGCTAATAAGCAATGCTCAGAAATTAAAATTATCTTTGAGCATTGTTTTAAAATCAGCTATTTCTTAACAAACCAAGTGCCCAATTTCCCCCATCCTGAATCACATTAAAGTCCCAAGAGAAGAGAATTTTTGTAATTCAAGAGTTGAATGGTGTGGAGTTCCTCAAAGAACTACCAAGACCACTCCTACCGTCATTGACAGGGCAACCAGGACATAAAATAAGAGCAAATCCCACTCTCTTCTAGCACTGATGATGTTATCTGGTTTGGTAATGAAAAGTCTCCAAGAAAACAATCCAGCATCAAGGATTCCACATAAAGTGTCTACCCTTAGTTGGTTCCAGTACCAGTACCCCTCTAAAACACACTATTATACAGAAATGATACAAAGGGGGAAAAACATATAAATTCATATGCTTGTGTGATGTTCATGTGCTGGCTAATAACAGTCTGAATATATTAGGTTTCAGATAAGCCAGAGCAGAAGTGATTCAACTCAAGGCTTCTAGACAGATAACAGCAATAATGAATATTTATTCTCTCTCTTCCTCACTGATGGTTATTTCATGGAACAAAAAAACAGAAATAGTAGGGGTAAATCATAGGATGGTTTTAGACTGAAGGCAGCATCTGGAGTTCATCAAATGCTATTAACAATGGATAATGCACATGGAAAACCTTATCTAGAAACACCCAGAGTAGCTCTTACAAAAACTCCTGAATACTAGACCTTATATACAACTTGAAACCTTATGGAAACAGAAAGGTTGATATTTAGGAAGATAATTCTTGGGGCAAACTCTTCAGGTGGCTCTTAGGGAAATGTCAGAACATCAGAGGAGCCATTTTACTTGAAAACAAGGGCTACTTCTCCTCACTACCCAAACAAGTGAAGTTGGTACTTAGGAAAATCACATCATTTCAATTTTGATACTTTCTAGAATTCGAAACTGCATTTGAACAAATTTATATTTGCCAAACTTTCTAAAAGCAAACCGGGGGAAGCTGTTAGTTTTTAACGTAAAACCTTATTTTACGTTTACACTTAATAAGTGACAGTATCCCACCACCTTTACCACGTCGTCCTCCCAAATCTTTTATAGCTTGGCTGTCTACATTTTACTGATGGGGGGGGGGGCTGGAGAGATCGCCTCAGGCAGCTAATTGGCCCGAGTTTTTTTCTCGAAGATCGAAGAGCAAGAATGGGAATATCAGGGGAGGCAATGCAAAAGTTTGCAGAAGGATTTCCTCCAATTTTAGCCACCCGAAGAGGGGTTTTAGCTCCAGCACTTGGCGCCCTCCTCGGGGAAGAACCTCGCAAGAGCTGACCTCCGCTTTTCTGTCAAATCGCGAGCCGGCAAGGGCTTGCCAATCGTCTCTGTGCCTCACGAAACCCAACGGGAGACCCGAAACCGCAGAAGATTGCAACATCCATGCAGTCCCTATACCCCGCATCGGTCCTCAGGCTCAGAGGAAGGGGGGGCTGTCTCTCTCCCAGTCACCTCGCCTGCTCACCTTGCTCGAGGGCGCTCCCCCCGTGCTTAAGAGCAACGCCAAGGCGAAGCTCTTCCAGGGAGCAGAAAGCGCCGAGGGCATGTTAGCCCCGCCAAACTGCCCGAAGCAGCCGCGCAGAAGAGCTGGCCTTAGTTCCAAGCGGAGAGACGCAGTCAAACGCGCCGCAGACTTTTGAGTGAACTTTGTGGCGCGGTCTCGGCCGCATTTGTAAGCTCGGCGGTGGGGGAGCGGTGGGAGGGGGGGAGAGCGCGAGCCCAATTCATTCGGCACGTGGCTTTCCGGCCAATCGCTTCCAGACAGAGCAGGCGCCCGGGGTGGGGCGGGGGGAGGCTGCCTTTGGATTGGGAGAAACCGAAGGGCAACCGCGAGACCCAACCTCGCTGTCCCTTTCCATTCGGAAGGTACACGCCTCGTGCGCGCGCGTTCGAGTTTCCGCCCCTGGTTCGCCTTTCATTCCCACGCGCGGCCACCTAGGGTAGCGAACAAGCCGTGCACCTTATTGTTCGAAGTAGCTTGGTATTTCCTCTGGCTGACGGGGAGCTCCAGGCCATCGAAGCCGACGGTCCATCGATGCAGCTTTCTCCGTGACTGCTTTTTTGGAAGAGAAAACATTTCACCGCTTGTTAATCCATCCTTCAAGGCTCGGGGCAGTTGCTCTCGAGTGCTAGTTTGCCAATGACGAATCTTATAATTTGAAAATGCACTGTGAGGATGTTCTTGCTCCAACGCTTGGCACCTAAGATTAATGCAATCGAAGGGCCTTTCTTCTAAGACAATTATCCAATAATTTTACAATTCATTAATAAAATAAGAATATTAAAAATAGAATATTTTTGTCTAAGTTCTCCCAGAAAAACCTTGTTCAGCCCCACTTACAAAATGCCCGAAGATGATAGGCACCGTTACAGCATATTCTGACTAGTAGCGTTCAAAGTCAAACTTTTGGCTCAGTGGAGAAAATGCAAACACAGAAAAGAGTGGAAGATGAAGTCTTGTCAGCCTCCCCACCCTATGCAGGAATTAGAATTACTACTTAATGTCAGTTTCATTTAGAAGTGTCTAAAACCTTCATATGTTGAACTTTACAAATATATTTCCCTCAAACTAGTCACTGAGAAATGGTTAAGATTGAAACAAAAAAAAAATCTTAATTTTTCTCCATAAAGACATTATTCAAAATCACTCATGAGAGAAAGACACTTTCTGAATTTACTTTGGTGAGCTCTTTGTAATATAACTAAATTCCACAATTTATTCATTCCTGTCTGCCAGGAATTGTGCTGTCAGAATTTGAATGCCAAAGATATTGTGCCTTCAATAGTAAAGGCTTAAGACATTTGTAAAAATGTTTTTTTGTCTTTTGTCCAAGTTCCATTACATATATAGGAATAACTATTTCTAGGACTTGTATGCTGATCCCAAGGGGGGGGGGGCTGAGATAAGACCCTGGTGACTTACCTTGTAAAAAATTTGCCAAAATGTGTTATGGAAAAATCTCAAATGAATCAAATATTGTGCTCAATGGTTGGAAGGTACTGAACCAGTTACTGGGGAAGAACAAGATTCTGCAATGAGTGGTCAAGACATTAACTGGGGCATTTGCTGGGCCAAATCCAGCAAGAATCCCAGGTGCTGATTCATCCATTGGTGAAAGCGAGCATCTGGGTTGCACAAAGATATATCAAATAGCAATATGGAATATCTGAGGAACGAGCCAGTGTAAATCAGATCATATCAAATGGAAGATGGACAGATTGAAAACCAGTTTCCTTAGCCTTAGAGAGGTACATTAGATGGACAGTGGCTATTTCAAGTTTGAAGTATTCACTATCTATTACTCAGGACATGACAGGAAAATGAATGGAGTGGCATTTATCACAAGCAAGAAATTCATCCAAGCAGCGCAAAACTTTCTGATGGTTAATGATAACATTATAACTATCCAAATCTGTGCCAAACCCCTCGGAATCACAGTTGTCCAGGTCTGTGCCCCAACGACTGATGCAACAGAGCTTGAAATAGTGGATTTCTTGTCAGCATTAAAAAAAAACTCTAAAGCAAGTAACAAAAAAACCACAGAGTTTACATCCTGGGTGATTTCAGTGCAAAAGTAGAAACAGGCATCAGCTGGAAACTTTGGACTTGGGAAGAGGAATGGTGCAGGTGATTGATTTAATTTTGTCATGAAAATCATTTTCATATCATGAATACCTGGTTCAAACAGTACAAGCATCACTTATACATTTGGACCTGTCACGTAAACTGTGCTATAACTAGTTGACTACAGATAATCCTAGACTTATAAACCACAACTGGGACAAAAATTTCCATTGTAAGTTGTAGTCACAAATTTCTGTTTAATTCATTGTTGATTGTAATTGGCTGTAATAATTCAATAATGATTTAATTGAACAGTAATTTGTTCTTAAGCTATTTAATAATGACTAATAATAACAAATTGAGGGGATTATAAGGTAAAATCATAAAAAATGATTGGAAAGATAAGAAGGAAGGTGATGAGAAAATAACATTAAGCATTTCTTTTCAACTGGCATCTCACGGACTTGAGTGCCACCTATCTTGCTGTAGCTGTTTTCTCCACAGCATACCCTCCCCCTTTGGGGAGAGCAAACTTTACTCAGAAGAAAATGCTGACCCCTGAAGTATAGCTATAGAACATAAAATGTATGCTTCAAAAGAAGTTATACTCATGTCTTGCATGGATGAATAGTTATAGATTTGGAAAGTTTGGCATGAATGAAAAGTGGGAATAGACTATTACTACATTTTTTGAGATATGCATCAAAAAGGGAAGGAACCAGCCAAATTAAAAGGGTAGCAATATATCAGATTTCATTAGTGCATCTGAATCTCCAAAATGAAATTAGTTTGACCCAGAACAATTTTCATAGAAAATAGAATAGAATAGAATAGAATAGAATAGAATAGAATAGAATAGAATAGAACTGGAAGGGACCTTGGAGGTCTTCTAGTCCAGCCCCACACTCAAACAGGAGAACCTATACCATCTCAGACAAGTGTTTGTCCAGTCTCTTCTTAAAAACCTCCAATAACGGAGCACCCACGATTTCTGAAAGCAAGCTGTTCCACTGGTTAATTGTCCTCACTGTTAGGAAGTTTTTCCTTAATTCCAGGTTGCTTCTCTCTTTGATCAGTTTCCAACCATTGTTTTTCTCTTTTTTTAGAAATGTTAGTGCCTAGTGTACAGCGTGTTGTCTTGGTTCATATATTTTGAAAAGAAACAATCAATAGTAGTTAATTAACAGTCAATAATATTTTTTTTGTAATTCCATAATTAGTATATTAATTAATAATATATTTCTTTGATCTTCCCTTCTCCCAATAGTATTCTGTTTCTTCAACCTTAATCAAATATATTTTCAGTGCATAAATGGTTAAATATAAACATTTTTTCATGTTTGTACAAATAATAATGTCCATGTATGATATTTTTTCTTATCAACTTGTGTTGTTTTCTATTCTTATTAGTTCACATATCCTATTTTAATAATTCTTATTTAAACTTAATTTCCCCTTAATATTCAAACAATAATTTTCTCATTAATAATCTAAATATCCAGATTTTCCATTTAGATACACCATCTCAATGTTTTCATATTTGATGCATTATAAAAATACTATGCTGCTTATTTATCTTATGACCTCTACCTATAACATCTTTTCTGATCACGTTAATTTGTTATATTACTATATATATTACTATATATCCTATTTTCAAAGTTCTTATTTAAGCTTAATTTCCCCTCAGTACTTCAGTCATTCTTACTCCTAATTCTCTTGAACTTAATTTGCTTTTAAATTTCAAACTTTTCATTCACATACACCATCCCAATATTTTTATATTTTATATATTATGAAAAATACTATATTTATATCCAAAGTTATCTGTTCTTTTAACGTTATTCAAACAAGTGTTTGCACATGTAATACTCTATCTGGTAGGGCGAGTCAAATCTCTTAAATCTATCTCTGGCCTTCTTCTTTTGCCAAATAACTTTCCAAGTTGATAAATTCCACTTGCCAGGAAATTTTTGTATTTTTGTAATTATTGTTGGGAGTGGAGAAGACGGGATGCATAGAATATATGCTTTTTGTCTCCTGAACTCTAGTGGTTCTCCTGGCAGTTCTATAGTCCATTTTGTTAAATCTTCTTTCTTATCCTCAGGTTTATTTTGACGTTCTGATGAATAAAGTATCTTTTCCATTTTTATTGTTATGTCAAGGTGTTGTAGGTTTTTTCCTATTTGTGTTAAATTATAATTCTCTTCATTTGTAGCTTTGCTGGTTAAGTCATTTTCTTCTAGTTTATGTTCTGTTATCAATTTGTTTGTTCATTCTTTACCATCATTTTCTGAGTGATTTTTGATTGTGGGTTTAGATTAGAGATGTGATCATTTATGTCATCAAAGTTGTTTTTTATCTCCTTGTAGTTTGAAGCTATTGCCATTTTTACCTGTTGTAACATTTCTTCCTGGAAAGTATTTCTCTTATCTTGAAATGTTGCTTCTGGAGGTCTTTGATATTCCAGGCTAGCTCCTTCAGGAGTAAGTATTAAATGTATTAAATGTGGTTTTCTGTCATATTTTTGGTAAGTATGCAATATCCATGTTGTTTCCCCCTTTCAAATAGTCCTTCATCAGTGCAATAGTCTCTATAATTAGCCTTACAAAACCAGCCAAACTCAGAATCCAAACAGTCCAATTTTGTATAGTTCTTATCTTTATATATAGTTTTTATAATCCACTGTATTTCCAATTGTCAAGGCATCAGTAAAATCAGTATTTTATAACAGTTCTTTTATTCAGGGGTCAGTTGTCAACCAGGCAAAATTGCAATTCAGTATATTTAGCATCTTGAGTCCTTCCTGTAAATTCCCCCCTAAAAGATTAGCCCAGAGTCAAAGTTTTTCTTTTTCTGTAAACAATTCTTGGCTGTGGGGTGCGGAATTCCACAATCCCGTGCCCGTGTTCTACAGTGCAAAAAAACAGAAGTCTCACCAACCAACCATTGTTTCTTGTCCCACCCTCTGATGCTTTGGAGAATAATTTGATCCCCTCTTCTTTGTGGTAGCCTCTCAGATACCAGAATACTGCTATACTGTCATCCCTATTT